TTAAGCGGTGACATGGTCTTAAGGTTAGTTTTAGTAGCTTGATACACCATCTCAAACGTAAAATAGTTGGTTTAGCAATTGGATCGCCGTGTTGGAATTTCAAGCAACTTTAAAAAGCGTGCACAACACGGTTTCTGCATCTGGGCGTGGTCACCATGCTTGACCCTCGGGGCTGCCGCGCCGACCACCGACACGCACGTGCTCGCACACCGTACGCACGCCACCACGCTGGTCGGGCCTACCGCTGGCTCCGCGTTGCGGGCCACTGTCACCCGTTGCCACGCCCTGGCTCGCACTCACACTCGCACACACACGGGCCCAGCCGTGCGGACCCGCACAGCCGTTGCCGCGCATTGGTCGCTCGGCCACCACCGCCGTTACCGCGGGTCCGCTGCTCTGGCCAGCCCGCTATAGCCGCTTCGCCATGTCGCTGACCCCGTGCATCGCGCCACTACGCTGCTACTGGCCTTGGCCGTTTGCGTGAAGTCACCGCGTGAGCTCTGCCACGCTGTCGCATCCGCTTGCCGCCCTACCGCCACGCGCTCGCCTGTGTGGTGCCATTAGCACGTGGCCACATTTGGCATTGCCCGCACGTCACCTTGCCTTGTCTGCCTTACCATCACGTCGGCACTCGACGATGCTGTGCTACTGTCTTCTCTGACCGGCACCATGCCACTACGGCGCGCATAGCTGAGCGCCGTCGTCGGCTTAAGGTTTATGGCCATGCGGCCCATTGTCCTGAATGCGTTGGTCATTTCCCCCTCGCCTGTAGCCGTACACGATTGAGCACCAAGGTGACAGCCATGTCCTGCCACGGCAGCGACGAGCCACGCCATGCCTGTCTCCCTTGTTCTTTGGCACTGTGGTCATCGTACCCGCTTCTCTAAATTCACCGCAGTGGAGCCACCTCAATCCAATTAACCCCGTCCTCAGCTTCGCTGAGTAACCAGCCACCCACCCGACCCTACCTTGCCGCGAGCCGCATCGTGCCGTGCTCCAATTTGGAGCTACCGTTCCGCTGGGTCAATAAGACCGTGTCGGTCTACGTCGGAGGCAAGCTCCCTATCCGATGCTACTCGTATCAATTCCTTACACCGCTAGCTTTGCCTCCACCTGCTAATCACCCTGCGCACCTTTGCTAAATCGCTACCACCGCCTAGCCTCCCCTGACGCAGCCTTGCCACCACCGTGCGCCACCGCACCGCCCATGCACACGTGGCTAGCTCGGCTCGGTCCATCTCCGATCAATCCACCACGTCTGGTAGGTTCGGGGTGAGTCGCTGATGCCCATCCTTGAGCTTGTTTAGGTTGTCTGTGCCTTGGCTCACGGGAATATGACCGCCGTTGCAGGGAGGAGTCCGCCATCGTGGAGGGAGCTCGGGACAGCATCTCCGTTCGTCGCGTCGGCGCCCATCACTTCGGGTTTACGCCTAGGTGAGCATCGGCTCGCATTTGGGAGCGGGGAGGGGCCGGTCTGGCCGGTGTAACCGCCCTACGCCAGCGCCGCCGCGCCGGTGTGCACGCGCGGGTGCCGAGGGTGTCGCCTTTGCGAAGACAGGTTCTTCCGAGGGTTTATCTGCGAAGTAGCTGACTGTAGGAATAGTGTCGTGGGTCTCAAGGTGATTCGACGGTAGGTCAGGGTCGTTTTCGTAAAACAGCCGAACGTGCGGGCCGCCGTCGCGTGGATGGGCCACGCCCATGTTGGGCCGCGCAGGTGCGTCGCGTGCGCACGCATGTTCGCGCCGGTCTGGGCCGAGCCGTTCGTGCTTGGGCCGCCGGTGGAATGCGTTTTTTCAAATTCCAGTAAAGTTATAAATGCTTATTCAATTTAGTTTTGAGCTGAACTTTGATAAATTGTAGTAAATCTTATAGATGTCCAAAAATAGTGAAACAAAATTTGTTACGTTCACAAAAATGCAATCTATCTGTTAGTGTAGTTAGTTTACAGTTAGCTGTGATCATGATGGGTTCATAAATTTAATTTAGAAAGCTTAGTATTATGTATCATAATATTTGTAGGATTTTTTATGGCAAATTAATGATAGCTTTAGCCATGATATTTTTATAGTAAGACCATTAGATCATTATATACTCACTATAATTTTTGTAGCCCTAGAGTAGATTGGTAAATAGAGTAGCTAGTACCCCTTGTTTTATCATATATAAGGTAAATCAGTATTAGGAGTAAGAATACCTTTAGTTGCTAAGATAATATATGGCATGCTTCACACTTGTTAGTGGTAAGAGTAGGTAACTTAGCACCTTAGTCGGTAGAACTCACTTAGTAGCTCGATAGATGTATTTTATTTTAAGAGCTGCTATTGTCGTATTACTAAGTGTTGCATCATTATTTCATGCATGTAGATCACGAGTTGATAGAGTTCGTGCCCGTGGATGAACAAGATTACGAAGAGGTCATTGAGGAGTACTAGGAGGAGATCCTCGTGTAGGAAGAAGCCCCGGAGCCGTTTGGTGCTGACTTTGTTGACCCACCGTCTGCCCAAGGCAAGCCCCGGTGCATAACCTTTATTTTAAATGATCGCTGAATATATATGATGTGCATTTACATTACAGGTATTTTATGGAAACTACATGTATAAATATATCTACCTATGAGTCCTACTAGTATAGGTCGAGTAACTGTTATGCTCAGGATTTTGGTAGCGTGAGTAACCTGTCGTTACTTACCATAGGTGATAATTATGATTACTCATGATAAAATGGTGGAAAGAAAAAATGGTGACCGGGCTGGGATATGTTTTTGGTACTGGTGGGTGTAAGAGGTTGTGTCCTACGGCCAATAGGGCATAGCTTGGTTACACTTTTCCCTGTCTGTATCGGTTAAGGATCGGTCGTTGCATAAGGCTCTAGGCAAGACATAGATTTGTTATCCCGAGCACATACTTGGGTACGGGCGTAGGAAAGACTTGCTGCTCTCTTGTCGTGGGTTCTGGCTCTTTCCAGACCGACTTATTGGAGGTGGGGATGGTGGAGGTCCTTGCACCGCACAAAGTCCAGGACTTAGGAGCGGGGGCTTGGAGTCCAAGTTTGGACGGGGACCTGGACCCCAGGACAGGAGGGTGATGGGTTGGTCCTGCTTGTGCCTGGGGTACAAGCGAGGCGTGTGTTTTCAGGGTACCCAGCTGGGGGCATTGATTCGCGAGTCGACGGACGATCCGGTACGGCTTGTCTACGATTTAGTATCGTTGTAAGAACTGAAAGATGGAAGGTGATAAAATAGAACTGATTGCTCAACTCTTGCTTGAAAGTAGAACATGTGCTTACATAAAATGGCTAGATAATAAATTAATACGGTTATTAATAATAACATAAATAAAGACCCACTATCGCTTTCTGCAAAAAGGAAACCAGCAAACCATAAAGCTTCGCAAATCCCTTGGAGTCGGGAAATTATTTCCACTAGTCGGATAAGTCTTGTGAGTATATTGTGTACTCAGGGTTTATTTACCCCTGTTGCAGGTAATGCTTGAGTTATGTGGATGATTCTTCTTGTGTGCACAGACGGATCCTTGTTCTTTATCGCTAGATGTTTATTTTAATTCCGCTGTTGAATATTCCGCACTCTGACATTTGGCAATGTAATAATGAATTTTTACGAACTCTGAATGTATGAAATTGATTAAGTATTGTAACTTGTTCTCATTATTGGATCCTTGGAGAAAAATATAGATCTTTCGGGTTCTCCCTTGGGGTGTGCCCGATGGATACCGCCCGCTGTAGTTTGCTTTCGGGGTGCTTAGTGTCTGGTGAAAGACGAGCGCCTCCGTAATTATGTTATTTCGGGCGGTTCTGCCACAACTTATTTGGTTTATAAGCCGTACTTTTTTAGCCAACGAACAATATTTTTCTCTCATAACAAATCAGCTAACAGTATTTTCAGCCATGGCTTATCAGCCAAAGGAGCCCAAATAAACAGGGCGAAAGTCTCCGGGCACGGCCAGGCAGCCGTCGTAGCTTCCAGGCAACGCCTGAGTGGCATGAATGAGCTCCAACCTGTGATGATCTTCAAGGTTGATTGGGTGGAAATCATAACACCGCTGGCATTTTCATTTCGAAAAAAAACACAGGTAGCGCTGGGCTTGGCAACAAAAGGCCCAATAAAAAGGGAAACCAAACAATAATTGCAGCTATTTAGGTTTATGCTTGTTAAATATAAATAAATCTACAACTAAGATATACATGATTCATTGAGTATGACATTTTTACTATAGTTCAATTATACAATAATTAGCTCACCATAAAAATTTCATCACAATTGGACATAGAAACTGCAGCTATGAATTATTTCAGTTAATTATAGAAAAGCATAGATCTAAAGCCACAACAAAAACATCGTACTAAAACATACCATATTATATGTTAACTGTGTAGATCTGCTCATGTGGAATCCAACAAAATTAGATTTTCTATTTTATGATTTTTCTATGATTTACTATGATTTTTTAAAGATTCAGCCAAAATAAATAAAAAAGGAAAAAATAAAACCACCTTTAAAACTGCTTATAACAGGTTTAGGGAGATAAGATGAACCTTTTTAAAAGTTTAGGGAGGAATTTTGCTTGGTTTTAGAGTTTATTAGAAAGAATAGACTTTCATAAAGATTGAGGAGATAACGTGGACTTTTTCGCCAAGACAAAAGGCCAAACATTAGGAACCAGGCCCGGCCAGCCGCCCTCGTAAAAGCCCATCTCAGGACGGTCAGTTTCCCAGGTCAGCCCCCGCACGTGCTGCGGTCTGCGCATTCCCCGCGCCGTCCGCCCCTCCGGTGATCCGGTCCTCGCCCCTCCCCGCGTCGTGTCGTGTTGGCCGTCGGGGGCTCCTGGAACTGGAAGGAAGGAGACCCGGCCCCTCGTCTGACCTCTCTGTCTCTCCCTCCGGCATCTCATTTCGCCTCCCTACACCTCCCTCCCAGTCCCCGGTGGATGTGGATCCATACCGTGTCCTAACCCCACCACGCAGCGCGAGGGAGCAAAGGAGCCATGGCGGCGGCCCAGCATCGTCAGGTGTGGTGGCCGGGGCGGATGCCGGCGGCGTTCGGACCCTCCTTCCTCTGCCTCGTCTGCCTCATCTACTTCATCCAGGTTTCTCCCTCTACTCCCCATTTTTCCTCTTCTAGGATCCTAGGCTTCTAATCCCCTGATCGATCACTGCTTCCGGTATATTTCCGATTAGTAATTATCCGCCCGTTGATTGTTTAGATCTCAATCTTATCGCATCCCCACACGACGCTGTTTGGGAGAAATGGACATATCAGATACGCAAAAATGCCTTACTATAGCTTCTAGTATAGGGCAAAAAATGCCTTACTAGCTTCTGAAGTTCTGATATAGGGCACCGAACCAGAAAATTTGATCATTCATGTTGCCATGCTCTGCTGATTTGTCAAGGCCCTGTTTGGAACCGAGGAGGGCGACCGCGTGGTGTGGTGGGAGAAGATCGCAGTTCATTCTCGCGGTGGATGGAGAGGGGCGGTCGAAAGAATCGAGGCCACCGCAGGGCGTTTGGCGGGCTTTTGCTTGATTGTTGCGGTAGATGGGCGAGAATCCGATTTTAATCGGTTCCAAACAGGGCCCAAATCAATTCCTTAGCATGCCTAGTTACCTGCGAGATCCTCGTTTCATCAGTCAATCAACATCTTGAAGCATTACCAAGAGCCTAGCCTTTCTGCAAATCTAAATGATTGTTCACACACGTACTGCTCTCTATTTTTTTTTTCCAGATCACCCTGCTAAATCAATTACGTTCCTTCGAACATTCTAGGGTTTCAGGTCTTTCGTCTGGACAGCTGTCTCCTACCAAATGAAGGACTTGATGATGCTATCACCCTCCACATCACAGTTTCTGGTCTCCCTTGCATATTTCCCTTGGAGCATTAAACCTATATATGGGTAAGGTTTTGTTCCCTCATCAATCTTCTATTGCTTTTCCTCTTCTACTGCTGGTACCGAAACTTACTGGTGATTCAACAATGATTTTTAGTGAGAAATGGTTGACATGTATGCTACATTTAACTTCCTGCCTGCAGAGTTGCATGCTTATTTTCTTGTTACTTAAGAAACCTATATGGCTAAATGCCTTCACGCATGCATGACTGCATTCATTCTGTTTCATGTTTCTCAGTAAAATCTAAGTCCTACCTTTTGGCTGCTTATATGCCAATTGTTTTCTGCAGGATCTTGTCAGACTGCATTCCAATTAAGCAGAGGAAGCGTATACCCTATTTGATCATTTCTAGCTGCCTTTCTCTACTTCCGTGGCTTATCCTTGGACTATCACAAACTTTAAGGAGCTCAGCCAATATGCTTACTGCCTTGCTCGTAGTACAGAATCTGGGATCTGCGATGGCGGATGTTGTTATAGATGCAATGGTTGCAGAAGCAGTTCGATCAGCAGGGTAGGTTTCTTGATGTTTCCTGTGTCCCTATTTGGTATGCTGCTATGGAGTTTTGTGAAAACCTACTAATGTTCTTTCCAGGCCGGAGTTTGCTGGTGATCTACAGTCATTATCTTGGTCATCGATGGCTGTAGGTGGGATTTTCGGGAGCTTGCTGGGAGGATATGCATTATCCAATCTCCCAATACATGCTATATATGTTGTTTTCTCAGCCCTCCCATTCTTGCAACTAGTTTCCTGTATGTTTGTTGAGGATTCTCCAAAAGGATTCCACAGTGCAAATGATGAACATAAGTATGTAGACAATCAGAGTTCTGTTACTTCCTTTTCTGAAAAAGGCTCTAGTGAAGCACTTAGATATGAGGGCACTAGAAGGCGAAAGGGAACTCGTAAAAATAATAAAAGGAGATCACTGTCAAAGCGAACTGAGCCTGATGAGAAACACAATGGATCAATTAATTTGTTGCCAAGTTTGTCTCTGAGATCAGCCTTCTTCAGCCTGTGCACAGCTTTTAAGCAGCCAAACATTCTGCGGTAAGCAAAGATTCTTTTCCTATATTTTGCCCGTTGTATACCCCTAATTTGATAGAAGGTACTAATTGGTAATTTTGTTTTATTTTTCCAGGCCTATGGCATGGTTTTTCTTTTCAAATGTAACAATTCCAAATATCTCCACAGTCATGTTCTATTATCAAACAGAGGACCTAAATTTGGAGGCATCCTTTCTAGGGACTGCACGTGTGATTGGGTGGTTCAGTCTAATGCTTGGCACCTACACCTACAACCGCTATTTTAAGCAGAAGAAGCTCAGGAATATTCTTGTGTAAGTTATCCATTGAAGTTTCTGTGTCTGATAGTTTTCCTTTTGTCATCATGTCCATATGGATTAACGGGACAAAGTAGCTTTACTGAAGTACATTATTTGTCTTGACAAATATATGGTTATTGTACTTGAATAAGTTGTCACCCTCTTCTTTTTTGAGCTAAGTTTCAACACCTTTGTCCAGCACCTGCCTGGTTCCTACATATTTGCACAGTACAGGTTTTGTCTCACCTGTACAGGTTTTGTCTTCTTTTCCTGTAACTCTCTTTCTCTTTCTTTTTATAATAAAATAAATTGCACAGTAGGGGCTTCCCCTACTGCATTTCCCCTAAAAAAATTGCACGTGTGCATTAAACTGAATGCGTGTTGGATTACATCCCCCCTTTTCCTTTATGTGCATTATGCTATGCTTCTATAAGCCACAGCTGGTCACATTTAGTTGTACTATTAAGCCCCTTCTAGCCCAACTTTGCTGTTTTGGTAAACAAATAAGGTTTGTAGTTTTTGTTATTAGTTACTCTTGTTCCAAGATACCCAACTAAACTTTTAGAAGTCATTGTCCACAGTAAAAAAAAATCTATTCAAAGCTGTTATGTCCGCTACTCCTAACATGTGCTGTTGATTTTTCCAGGTTTGCTCACGTCGGTCTTGCCGTAATTACCCTACTGGACATTGTTTTGGTGTCACGGTTACACGTTCAGTATGGAATTGCCGATAAGTACATGGTGCTGTGGGGTTCTGCTTTGGGTGATGCAATCAACCAGTTCAAGTATGCTTTGTTTAGTTGTGAACCAAGTAGCTCTATGGCATTTGATATCAAACCATTTGCAAGCTTCTGACAAGAATGCTTCTGTTTGGCAGGATGATGCCGTTCCTGATCCTGTCAGGACAGCTTTGCCCACCTGGAATCGAGGGCACACTGTTTGCTCTCTTCATGTCAATCAACAACCTTGGTTCAACAGTAGGTTCATTCCTGGGGTCTGCTCTGGCATCAGCTTTGAACCTCACCACAGGACAGTTTGACAATCTTGCTCTGGGTTTGGGTGTACAGATGATTTGTACTCTGTTACCGATTGGGTTCCTATCTCTGATTCCAAAGGAAGTCACAGGACTAACATCGTAGGTTGAGGGGTGCGGGCCTGACCATACTTGTTTTATTCCTGCTGGAAGGTAATGGTCATGGTCTGTGCCCGAACCTCAAATTCCTGACTCATGCACAAATATACTTACAACTGTGTACCAGAGTGAGAGGAATATACATATCATAGGAAGGAAATTAAAGATAGTTGGAAGATAGACAGTTTTGTTGACAGTATACAGCTCTGTACCAGGATGAGAGGAAAGAAGAGTGCAAAAGATTTTTAGGCAAAGGAATTGCAAAAAAAAAAAAAAAAAAAAATTTTTAGGCAAAGATGAAAGTTACTTGATGTTGACAGATGTTGATGCTACTTGACATTTGTAGAAATGAGAACAAACATGAAAGTGATGTTGCTAATGAATAAATCTGTGCACGTCTTTGGTTTTCATTAGCTGCGTTGTGCATGTATTACGAAGTGGTATGTACATATACTCCAAACTTGTTGCTATGAATATGGTCATTAAATCCATTGGAGCAGTGAAAACTGTTTCAGAAGCGCTTCGTGCTCGGTTCAGTTAAGTTGAACGAAGAACTAATGTATCGAACAAGTGAGTTGCTCCATCATAGAAGAGTTGCTCCATGATAGAAATTCAGAATACAACAAAAACGCACCCTTCCCCTTGTACAACTATTGTTTCAGCTGTTACAAAGAATGTAACCACCACCACCCAAAGCCTAAAACTATAGCTAACTGATGACACGAAATTAGGTGTCTGCCTCGAGCTCTGCTTGGAGTCAAAATTTTCTGACAGTCTTGCTTCAGATTCAAAGCCATCTTTTAGCCTTTGCTGCCGAGTTCACTGGAGGTGGTGTTTTTGCACCTCTTTTGTCATTTGAACCTGACAATAAAGCAAATGCACTTTCAGTACAATAAAATGGGAGGATCAGACAAAGCATCCTTTGTTCCATAACAACAGAGTACATCATAATCTGAAGTAAAATAATCTGGTTTATATTCATCATCAGCAACTTGTTTTACCAGTAAACATCCCTAGTGCTATTAAAAACAAATAAATCCACTCCAGAGCGTCAACCGGGGATTAGCATGTACAGTTCTAAGGGCATTAAAAAAAATCCCCCCTGATAATGATTCTCTATCCAAGGTTAAACTAATTAGCAAGCAGGTAAAGGGTGATCAGCTAAGTAAGAATGGGCATTGACCTTGTTCAGGCCATGGGATCCAGGAGAATGGCAGTGGCTTGTACTTGCTGGCAGCACATGCACTGGTGGTTTGACTATTTCTTATACCTTCCATCAAATGACAAGGCAATGGTTACACTTCAGTTAACTCATCCAGACACAAAAACCCTAACTATATAACTGATTTAATCACTACGCAGAGCAGCCTACATTGTTATGATTTCAAGGATCAATGTAAACATATAAGAGCAAATGGAGTTCACTGGATCTGAAAACTTACTTGTATCCGACTTCTTCCCTCCAAGAGAAGATCTGCGTGACATAGTTGACGGCGGTGGTGGGATACCTGTCAGTGACTGTCTTCTCCTTAACCTAATATCAGCTGTAACTGGGGAGGCAATATTATGGCATGCGTTGGCTGTGATTTTAGTTGGAGTCCCTTGTGCTGAATGTTGCACGTTCCTGCAAAGTTGCAGAAACAGGAAGGCTGTTATCATCAGTAATATGTGTCACAAGAAAAAGCATGTATCCTAGGGCATACCTTCTTTCAGTGCCGTGAATCAATCTCCCTATGCTGCTTTGAATTGACTTCCTTAGATGAGATCCTTTCTTCACTGCAGTACCTATCATTATTTTCTCCAATTTGGTGGTGGAAGAAGGAGCATCACCGCAACTTGCTTCAGTGCACAGGTTCCTTGACCTACATGGTGCTGCCTCTGGAGTATTTAATCCTGATTGCTTAAGTAGATTATAAGCTTCAGGTTGTAGCTGACAAAATTCCACTGTATCAACTGTACAAATTATCTTCTCCTCCTCTCTAACAAGATCTTCAGCGCATGTCTCTGGCATCTTCCATAATGGGCAAGGAAAAAAAATGTCAGCTGCCACAGCATTGAATGATATGAAATACACTAAGAGCAAGAAGCACCTTTATTCGTGATTCGTGGTGGTTGGTGTGACGGAAGCCATCAGTGTTGCATTCCTTGTCATGGGTTATACCCATAGCTGAACGAGGCGATTTCAGTATTTTTCTTTCTGGCATCCTGGCTTTATCAGAACTAGCATTCTCTAGGCTTAATCTCCGTGGCCTAGGGGGTGTGCGATCCAGTACTTGCTTTGTTCTCTCACTTGTGGTTGCATTTTCCTTCAGTTTAAGAGATGATTTTTCCAGTTCTTTGCTTGCTAATGCCTTTTTCAGAGTGTCTACCTGAAGAAAGGCTAACTTTTCAGACCTTTTTCAGCATGATGAACAAAATGGCATACATAAAGTCAAATATAAGATCATGAAACAGCAAGGATTCAATCGACATGAGTGTCACAGAGATAAACACATGTTGTTTTGAGGGAAAAAATGTTCTATCAGATATTTCACCCAAAAATATAGTGACCAAAGAAACAAAATTTTAGCTCAGTGCAACAGGACAAAAAGATAATCATATTACATTGTTGACCACTGGATTTGTAGCGGACCAGAAAGTTACCTGTTCTTTAAGCTCTCTTATTTCACTGCTTTCTTTGTTTGCGTGTGCAGTTCCAAGTTCTACAGTAGAAGCCCTCTGAGCAAATTTCAGTGTACTAAGGGTTTCTGCACAAGATTCTGCTTCCGGACTTATGTGGGCAAACATTAGCGTTTTTGCATTCCCCCCTGTCATTGATATTGCGAAATGTATAGAGAAGTTAGAATTGCATATATAGCTTGAATTTGAAGAAAAAGTTGCCCTAGGAAGCTTAATTTTACTCAAAACAGAAAACAATAGTCAACAGGCATCAGACAAATTCAGGCATGATGAAGCCACGAAGTTAAATTATGATTCTAAAAAGATGGGTCAGAGATGTAGAACCATTGGACCACCCAATAAGTTGTAGATTAATGTGCACAAAATTGCAAGATCATTTTATAATGTGCAGCCAGATATACCTAATGAACTCTGTAGTAGTTGGGTGAGTTTACTATTTCTGTAAGGAATGTGAGAGTTCTTCTGTGCTAATGCGTTGATGACATCTCCAAGGCAGGAGAGGGACTTGTTAATATGCTGAGCCTCCTTCAATCTGTCTCCTGTGGCTTCTGACCTATCAACCCTTTCGCTTCCTGCAAGATCCACCAAGTGCAAACTGCTACGGCTCACATTGCCAGCAATGTCCTTTCCATTTACATGGACAGTTAAGATACTGCAAGAAAGCATCCGAAGTCAATTGCAGCAAGTAATAAAAGAATAACAGAAAACAAACATCACTAGAAAGTAGCCTCAAGACAATGTTAGTGCAGTTGTGCAAACCTGTGGGAACGACTGCTTCTATGGTTTATTGCTGTTGATCCGGAAGCTCGGTGCTTTTCACCCAACTGCATCAAATTGATAACATCAGAAGGAGACTGCACTGGGCAGATCTTTGCATCTGGAAGGTTCAATAAACCATTGTTCAAGGAAGCTCTTATATCTAATGTGAACTCAATGTCAGGAACTAACACAAAAACAAAAAGAATCATACTTTGACAAAAGTAACAAGAATAATATGTAAGGTGTGAAAGGATATTTTGTGCTTGATCTGTCCTCATTTAGAAGATCACGAACTTGTTCATTGTATATTTCAACCATCTGCACCCGTATATCATATTTGACATCCTCTCTAGAAGTTGATATGTTGAAGAGATCATTCAAGGCCATGTAATTAATTCCAAAATCCTTGGACAGCCCACCAGATGGACCACACTAATCACCAAAATACAGAGATAGAAGATCCATTAGATGTGACCAAAATATATTCCTAGAAAACTAAGAAATTACTGTATAAGACATGGTTTGCCTCATACCATTGTATGGGTTTTGCCGGAACCTGTCTGCCCGTAAGCAAATATGCATACGTTATATCCATCCATGACAGATCTAACAAAAGGTTGTGTCTCCTTATACACCTCATCTGCACAAAGTTGAGAGTGATGATGTAAAACTAAAGAAAGATGTATTGAACTACAACTGATTTACCTTGAGTAGTTGTTGGCCCAAAAACTTTGTTGAACTGGAAGATTTTACGTGCACTTTGTGGTTTAACTGGATCACAGACCATCACTGAGCCATCGGTTCCAATATGTTCGATTGAAGAAATAGACTCTGAATTAAGAAGTGGCCTTATCCGGCAGAAGACTCGGATATTTCCTACAAATAAGCTTTCAGAAATCTCTCGAACAATGACTTAAATAACAACAAAAAACAGTGAATTAGATCATGTGATACCTCGCAGTTCTTGAAGCATGTTATACAAGTTTCTGTTTTCTTTTACAGCTTGGTTATAACCAAGGGCAGCTTTGGAAAGATCTTGGATATTTTCACCTGTAAATATAAAGTTGCTGAGTTAAACCCACATAATGCTGAGAGAATGTTATGTCTAGTGCAAACAGTGTACCTAATTTGGCCATGTCATCTAGAAATTGGGTCTGCAAACACCTGAAGTTGACTTTAACATCTTGAAACATTTTCTTGAGGTCCTGCAAAAGTTACCAAGTGCCAACCAGAAGAAGCATAAAATTTTTAACACCACAAATAAAATTTTGATATGATACAAAAATGCACTATGAATTCTCACCAAAAGTTCAGTTTCATGTGCTTGCAACAGCAACTGTTTGTTCTCAATTTGTGAGTTGGAATGCTACATGGAAAAATGGTACTTCATCAGGACAAGTGCTAGGAAAAAATTAGATTCACGGAAGAATGATAATTATTTTGCTCCACCCTAATAACATGTGTATACATAATAAGAGTTCGTTATGTTCCTGTATTCCTTGGGCAAAAATATTTATTCTGCGTCTTGGACATCAAGTATGCTAGTAAGAATCCAGTATCAGTAATCGATAAAAGTGAAACCTTGCTGTGGACTGGGAAGACAGCAGCTCTAAGTGCAGAATCCTGCTACAACAAATTTCTTACTATTTGTCTCTGCAAAATTTTACGAAATAAAAAACAACCTCCAGCTCTGTACTTTGTTACAAAGAAAACCCTTATGGATACCATGTTAAGAGATTTGCATCATCACTGGTAAAGAGTACAAAGCAAAGTCAATTCTTCTAACTTCTTCTAATTGTTTTAAAAAATATATGCATTTCCCGAACTAAAGATGAATGCAAAACTGTACCTCAATACAATGAGTTGGCTCATTCTCCGCCATAAGCTTTTCTGGAGATAAAAGCTGAAGATGTTTGAAAGGCATAACAGGGATTATTGTGTGATGTAAATAGCCTTACACACAGCATGCTAGGCATTTTGTACAGATCCAATTGATGAAATCACTCACACAAGAGAAAAGGAAAGGAAATATTTTAATTTACCTGTTCTTTTCCCAGCTGATTTGCTAAAACAGCACCAATAAGCTTTGTTGGATCCTGAAAATAAAATCAATCCTTGTCAGTCTGGCACCTGACATGGACAGTACAGTATATTAAAAAAACATGGAATAACTTATTATATTCAGAATCACCTTTTTCAGAATGTCTTGGTCAAAATTTTCCTTATAACTCAACATAGAATCTACTATAACTTTCTGAAGTTTCTCCACTGCCTCTGCAAATGCACAATCTGCAAAATTAATCAAGTGTGCAGACTATACTAATTATACAGGATAGCAACACCATAAGTTGCAATTCTAGTAAAAGTAGCATTAATACGGGTAGCAGGAGTGACTTATCAATCAGAAAATATTTAGGCATAAAGTGTGTCGAGCAAGCCAGGAGAAATGTGGCACAAACCTTTCATGTTAGGATCTACATTTTGAAATGGCAGTGTGTCAGCATCAGCCTCTGTCAAGTCTAGACACTTTTGGGAAGGAGGTCCCAAAGCAACATTTTCGGATTGAATATGCGAAGAACGCACTGCAAGAGGTGATTTCATGTACTTGATAGGCCCATTGGCTCCACCGGCTTGCTTCCATTCATGGTAAGACTTCAATGAAATTACACAGTCGACAATCTTGCCCACTGTCCCAGCATCAAGATTGTCCTGCAAAAGCAGCCGTATTACAGTGAGTAAGCATCGTGCTGTCAACATTAGTTTCATGAGCAAATGTTGATAACCTTATCTAAATCAGATGCCTCAAAACTCGGCAGCTTCAGTTTGTTCACAGCAACTAAGAAGTTGCGGATGTTCTCGAAATACTGAAAAGCCGTCAACGGCTGGCTATCGCAGGGGGCATTTGTGATAATCTTGGCCACAGCACCAGGCTGTAACTTGTTGATTGCCTTGCATAGAACAATGCCATTCCTTAGAGAAGCAACAAATTCCTGCTCCGACGGATAAGGGGCCAGGCCGAAGGAGCCCACCATTGCTTGGAGCCAGGCTGCAGCCTGATGCCGCCTCAATGCTTGCAAAGAGTAAGAAAGAACAGTAAGCAAAAATAATATTATAGGGGCAAAACTTGAAACTGCGCGTTCCACTGAAGAAACTTCAATTCATTTGTAGCATAGCATAGACAGATTGAGCTTGGTAAAGCCATGAAACTAGACTAGTAACAAAACCATATTGCTGCATAATTATATAGGGTGCTTGGTTCAAGCAATCACTCTATTCTAGATGAAGTGCTGCATCATAAGTCCATTTCTCAAGTTTGCTGGAAGTAACGATGGATCACCTATTCCATTCCACAAAAAGTAAGGAGGATGATGGATTAACTCATTCCTCAAAGCAAACACCAATAGAGAGAGGGCAACACTGCCCTGGAATCGAAGAATCGCTCACAGCTCGCTTCGTTTCTTATAGAAGCAGAGTTGCAGTCACGAACTCACGATCAAACTAGAAATTGCATGTCCCCCGCCTCCCCAGGAATGGGTTACATACATCTCAAAGCCTTGTTTAACCAACAGAACATCAGGTATCATACCACCGACACATCAGGGCATCTTTCAAGTCATCATAAGATTGAAGAACACCTTCCAGATGATCAAGATGTGAAGCGACTCTATTATCGGCGAATACCGCACCCAAGTTGCCGCAGAAGACCGAGGACCGCGGAGGGAAACCCCACCTAAACCCCGAACAAAAAACAACGGTCGAAACCGAGGAGCCCCTGGAGATCTAAGCACGCGAGAGGGATAAACCGATCGAAAGCCGAGAGAGCAAGGGACGGAACTACGGGAGATGTGTAAGGTCAGTACCTGCTTCCTCCGCCTTCCGCGACGCGAGGCGGCCGTCGCGGAACGACAGCCTGCGCGGCTCCGTCATGGCTGCGCCTCACGCTCCCCGGGGGCCGGGGCCTTCGGCGAGGGCGTAGAAGCTTCGATGGGAAGGAGACGAGGAGGGGGAGCAAGGAGATGGCTGGAGGAGGTGGTTTGAAATTCGAATGGGCTGCGATTGTGGGGCCCAGCCCGACGCGGCGGCCGTTGCCCCGAGAACCGAATCTGTCCGAGATCTCGACACGCGACGGCCGCACCGCCGCTCTCAACACACACCTGTCCGATTGGACGGCAAGTACGAGGTTCCCTTTTACCGCTGGGACCCACGAGGCGTTGGGTCCGTTGGTCAGTGACTGCTGTCTGCCTGTGCCGCAGGTCTGGCAAAGACAGGTAGCCAGCTGAGGGCACGTCCAACGCCCCCAGCTGAATTCGTCGGTCCACGCATGAAGCAAACATCAGGGACGTGTATCCCTCGTCGCCAGCAGAGAGATGGATGTTTTTTTTTTGGTTCAGAAGCTTTTGACAGTGCATGAAGCAGCCTTTCTTGCTTTTTCTGCTCCCGAAGGCCGAAGCGGCTACTCTCCGTCCCTAACGCATTTTTCACCGGTGGCTTCAGCTTTTTGTCGGTTAAGACCACCGGCTCCTCCGCAGAAGACTACGAACAGCTGCGAGACCATCACTCTTGATGACGTGGAGCCTGGACGCCTACATAGATGCTGGGGCAGCACGCTACCGTGTTACAATGGGGAAGGCCTAACCAGTGGCGGAGCGTGACCCAATATTAGGCGGGGGCGCTAATTCAGTGCTAAATACTACACTATTGCCTACTCCTACATCTCTTGCTCTCTGTTGCCCCTTCCCAAATACTACTAGGCTTTACCTACTTTAGTTTTCATCGGCATGCTACTACTAGTCCTTCGTGCTTTTGCGAAGGCAAGCAGGGGCCGGAGCCCAGTTTCCAGCTACTCCGTCCCTGGGCCTAACCATCCCCTCTATCTTTGACTTTTTTTTATTCTTGGGGAGTGACGTGGAATTCCTCTAGTCCCAAGTCAAAGCATCTACTGTCTGTAGCTAATCACATGTGTTTTATTTTGATTTAGTTTAATCACCAATGATTCTGACATGAACATGATGTTCGCCGAAGCGGTCGTTTAGCTCGTTTACACACCGTTTAGACGCTACACGGTGGTACACTGTTTTTATTTAATCAGTTGTTTAACTGTTTAAATGCCTGTTTTACCCATTTAAACACCAATTTTGTCCGAATAATGGCTAAAAGGCAGGTGACCGGCTGTTTACTATTTAGCGTTTAGGATAACACATGCATGAAGGTATGTACTCTCTTTGTCCATGATCCAATTCTCAGTTTTCGAAAAGTCAAATGATTTGAAGTTTGACTAAGGTTATATAAAAAAGCACTAACATTTATGATACAAGATAAGTACAATTAAGTTACTTCTAGAATATATTTACGTACTAAAACTAGTTGGAGGTATAAATATTAATATTATTTACTATAAGCTTGGTTAAAGTTAAGCTAATTTAACTAGCACAAATATCATAATTACATCTTTTGTAGGCAGAGGGATTACTATGCAACAGAATTAATCCCATGCCCATGACTGTGACAACTCCACTAGATTGTTTCCTCCAAGAAAAAAATGTTTAAAACCCTACATAATTCATTCTACTTGACAACGTTAGTCCACTGGTACTATATAGCTTTTTGGATACGATTATTTTAGCTTTATGGATGCGGGCAAGGCATCCGTCGCCGACAAGCATCACCGATTCACCGTTAAAGTCACCATGACACGCTAGGAGGAGAGTTCAACGCCAAGCACAGAGGTGGTGGTGTCATGTGCCTGTGCCACAGTGATGAGAAGCAGGTCGCGGGCGTGGCATTGTTGTAGCGGTGATGAGGATAGCAGTAGCAGTGGCCTCGATGCACATCGAGACCCTCGTAACCATGACGTAGCGATCGGTTGAGTGGAGCATGACAATCGCGACAACGGAGGAGGTAGATACGTGCTATGGACCATGATTGAATACTTCAATAGATGATTGGATACTTTAATACATAGATTATAGATTTAGATATCTATATCTATATATCTTATATTTTAATTCCCACTAGCATTCTATCTTGCTATGCAAGCTGTTCACGTATCATCATTCACTAGCAAATACAATCATGCCTTCGTTCAAGCTATTCACATGAGCAAACCACACATCATTCACTAACATATATTTTGTTGTCCACATCAGAATGTTAAAACATCCACTAACATGTATTATGATATCCAATCATTCAACAAGTAAGGCTTTGTTTGGCATGGCTCCCAGGGGCTCTACGATATCCAATCATTCAACAAGTAAGGCTTTGTTTGGCATGGCTCCCAGGGCTCCGGCTCCTCCTCTCATTTTCCTGTATCATCACTGTTTGCACTGTAATAAGGAGCTGTTCCGCTTCCCGAGAAGAAAAATAAACTAGAAAGAGGAGAAGCCATGATTCGTAGCTTCACCGGCTCCATGCTACAGTGTCTAGTGGAGGAGCCGGAGCTGCAAGGAGCTGTGACAAACAACCCCTAAATATAAGCAGTATAACTTTATTTGTGATTCTTGTAGCGACATGCACGGTATTCTACTAGTTTTATAGTTTTTTGGGCCTAAATGAGAATAGTATAAAAATTTAGGACTGTTCGTGTAATTATAAATTATGGATCACACGCCAGCCTCATGCTGGAACTCCATTTAATTATAAGTTACGGATAATACATCATTAGAGTTTATGATCTGATGTGTCTATTGTAGATCAAGATTGATGTGTTTAAATAGTTTATGAATCTAAATATGCAACTTCATAGTTTAAAAACCTGGATAAAAATGAGATACTCCATATATCCTGAAATATAAGGTTTCCAAATGATTTCTAGACAAAATAAGAGATCTAGTAAAAGACTACCTTGCCCTTCACTAATTAGAATGGAGGAAGTAATTCAGTTATTTTTCCCTTATTTATTGGTTGTCTATTTTTGTTGACACCAAGTTATTTATTGACTGTCTATTTTTGTTGACACAGTTTAAAAGTAATCTCAATATCACCTGCCAAAAAGCAAGAAGAGATGGGGTTGACCATTCAAAATAGCTTATATTTTGGTATAAATTTTGGACTCTGTAGTCCTTATATTTCAAGATGGAGTGTGTACAGTTTAAGGGCTACTAGTAATTTTATCCCCCTTTTTTTATGCCTATAGTGTTCTTGTGATCTCGAAATGATTTGATGTCTGCTTGATCTTCTTACGAGGGTTCAACCACCAAAATTACACTAACACTAATTTCTAGCGTTCTTAATTCTTTACATAATTGGACTGAAATGAATCAAAATCACGTTACGAATATGATATGCGCACAAAAAAAAAAGAAGTCTTAGAACGGGACATGGCAAACACAAGCGTGGAAATGCAAGTGACGATGTCACAGACTCACGGATCAGAACCCGGAGTCTGTCAGCACTCAGCATGTGTAACGGTGAACCCTTCCACCGCCTGGGGCTGCGGACTGGGGTTGCTTCTAGACCTGGGTTAGGCCGTTGGGGTCTGGGTTTAATTCTGACCTGTTCTGAGTCAGCATGGGCTCATTGGTAGGATGTACTAAATAATCCAGGATGATCTACATGTCATGCTGTTCATGTAAGGTCCAAGTTTTGGACATCGACAAACTCCTTGATGCAGCTGCATGATGGTAGTATGCGTATATGCCAGTGCAGTTTAAAGCAATAACTAAGGGTCTTTGACGGCCGAGCAATTGTGTCATTCAGAGAAGGAAACAGACCATCCATGTTCTTATCGAGTCGCACTGACAAGGACTCTAGATGGTTGGGACATGAGATGGCAGAAAAGAACTCATGGATGTTGTCCAGGTTGGATATTGAGAAATGTGGCTAACACTAGAGTTTTTACAGTGACTTGTTTGATCACTTAAAACAATCTAGAAATACTTAAGATAAAAAATTTGCCTGACCAAATGGAGTATTTCTAGACTGTTTTAAGTGATCAAACAATAAGTCACTGTAAAAAATCTAGAGTTAGCCATATTTCTCAATATCCAAGTCATGATAAAAATTAAAATTTATCAATTTCCATATCTCGGCGCTGAGCTCAGCGTCAAGATCCACGACGCCGAGCTTATGCCACGTCCGCGCCACGCAAGCAGCCACGTCAACGACACGTAGAAAATGACCCTGAACCTCGGCGCCAAAGCAATTGGCGCCGAGACGTATAAGCTCGGCGCTAATTGTTACGGCGCCGAGGCCAAGGTCTATTTTTTAAAAGGATACTGCGAGGAGCGTATTCGTGAAAATCTTTGAAAAAAAAGGGCTGAAAAACAAAAAAAAATCAGTTCCAGCAGGGGCTGCATGGTACAACAACGACTACTTGAGCACGAATTTGATTCCATTCACGTATCGAGTGTTGGCTCGGTCTTCACGTTTATCATTCATGTGATCCTCCAGCGGCTTGTTCGTTTATTGATCGTGGATTATTTATCACCACTGATTTGGTGTGAGAAAAATACTGCTCCAAATTTTATAATCGACGATCGTATACGTTTATTGGATGATACCACTATGGAACAGGAACTGGCCATATGTTTATTGGTCTCTGGCCATCTTCAATAACAACGGCCTTCAAACCATATGCCCTTAAATACGTAGTGTTTTTTGTCTCGAAATATTCCAGGATTCAGCGGAGATCTTCACGATACAGGTATGCGGTTCCTATTTCCTTATTCAATCCAACGAAGTTCATGCCAATATAATCACCATAGACATCAAGGGGCCCTCCGATACCAGCCTTAGTGACTTCACATGTGGAGTAAGAAAGTTTACTACAGTCAAGACTGTCTGTATCAGCAGTTAGTATTCCACCCGTAGCCATTAATGTGCCTGATTCGAAGATCCGCCCAACAGCTAATACCTCCGTATCTATTCTCTCATCAAGTTCGAGAGGAATTGTATGTTTAAGATTCACAGGATAGCGAGCGTGGCAATTCTTGACACTGACTAGAGCAACATTGTAATGTAAACTGTAATGTAGCAATGTCCCATCCACACGTTGTTTGTTTGGGAGCAACACCTCAATCCTCAAGCCTTCAGCAATCTTATTGTGATCATAAGGATCCTTAACCAAGCTCGCTGAAGTCAGAATACTTGGACATTTATCATCGAAGTCAACGAAAACTCCTGTGCATGCAAAAAACCTTGTCTTGCCATTGAAAGAAGCAAGTGCCACAACGCTTCTGAGATATTTCAGAAGAAACTCTTTTCCTGATACAAGTCCAGACACCTTCCGGATAGACATCACCAAAAGTATCTTCAAAGGTATTGACCAAAATCCAGCCACTATTGACCATACTCCTTGATGGAATGGGATAACCCAAAGAGTGTAGATCCTGAAATTGTTCCTTGTCAACACAATCATATGCCTTAGGATGGAAGCACTGCTCCCCACTTATAGTCTCAAACCAACCGTTCATGCCAACATAGCGAAATGCCATCCTTTGCATGGATGTCGACTGTTCAAGAGCTATTCTTGGTGGCAAAAAAATGAAGTGGTTCATACCAACAAAGTTTCCATCAAAATAAAAAAATGCCGCCCCTAACCAATTCTCAGAGCATTTATCCACATCAGAGAACACAAGACATTTTTTATCTTCATATGAAAGCAACCCAGTTGTTACCATTAAATTCCCAGAGAGATCGTGCCCTATAGCAGCTACGTTCTCCTTGTGAGGCATGAATTCCATTCCATGATTCAGACGCACACAATAAACATCAAGGGAGGAGTTCACTTTGACAACAGCAAGCTGACGGTCAGAATCATGTTCTTCGAGATGTCCTGTGACAACATTGCCTTCACAGTGTACTTCAGTCTTATTTTCCAAACGGTAGAACCGTAAAGCCCGAACCAAACTTCCTGATGTCACAAACTTTGTGGCATTGCTGCGGCATTCTATGGCTATGGCAGAGAATTGATGTCTTGTGCGTCCACTGGTCAAAACAATTAAGACGACACTTCTTGACAAATTTGATGCAACTTCTTCATTCAGCTGACTCCAAATACCTTGATTGTTACTAGCAGGTAAGTCACGACCGCAGGTTCTTTTATTCTTGTTTGAGAATTGTGTGATATCATCAGCACCCCTCTTACTTGCTAACATCTTACAAGACTTGGTCCGGCGTAGGGGCGTGCGACGTGGGTAGCAGGCACGGGGACGTCCGATGCAAGGGCAAGGGGGAGCCGATGTCCGGAGCAGGTCGGACCTCCACGGCGAGGTAGAACGTCCAGGAGGTGAAGAGGCGCGGAGGGAGGAGATCGAGCTGGCGGCGTGGAGGCAAGGAAGGCCGGCGGAGCGCAGACGAGATGCGGCGAGGTGGTGGCACGCCACGGCTGGTCGGGACACGGGACGGCCGTTGCGGGCTCTGGTGGAGACCTGCCTACTTCTTGTATACCGTGGGAAGGTGGAGGATGGGGGATGGAGGAGGCTGCTGTGAAACCCTAGCTACTCTACCATGGCTTTGAGCGAGACCGCGAGAGAAAAACTTGGCTGGCATGTAACGTGTCTCGAAATTAACTACCAGGGGTTGATTTGAACAGCCGTAACCAGGAGAACCTAGAACCGGATGATGCAGGTTCCAATTTTGCACGCACCGTGTCCTTCTCAGATTTCAGTTGGTGCCTCTCTTTTTTTTCCTGGTTATCCACAGGACTACAGGAAATCAGTGGCTACCAGCGAACCCTGGCTACAACTTCATAGATCAACTATTAATAAATGTAAGCACAATACATTACTACAATTTCTTTCAGACTCAAATTGCTTCATTATTCACAAGGCTGAGGCATCTCGGTCTGATTTATTTATGGCCAAGAGCAAGGTCTCTGTTCTCCTTGTTATAAACATGAATAATTGTGAATGCAGAACAAATATCCATTACAATGCTGATTGTGTGATTTCTTTGACGCAGGGATAACATGTACGTTATGGACAATGACAATGCAATGTAAGCTAAAATCAAAAAACATGAGTTCCAGCTGCCGCCCCAATGATAACAGCAATGGTAGCGAGGATAGCCTGTTATACCAAGTAATTCTCATCAGAATCGCTTAAGTTTCAAAATTACAGTTAACAAATGACTCGGATAAGTGATCGAATGCAGAGTTACATCTATAGAATTGCGATAGCTTTTGGCAATACCAAGAGAATAGACAAGCATTCTTTTCTTTCAATAATGCACCCTCTGGAAGTGCTCCCTTTCTGTCTCATAATTCATAGATGAGCTCTAGCTATACAAATAAGTTAGAACTCTCAAAAGTCTCAATGCATGAATCACAAACTAACAGTTCCATCAAGCATTTTAGTGACCAAGAGCCGGAATAAAGTTCATTGAGTACGACATAGCAGTCGCCATAACAAGATATTCAAGATGACTGAAGTATCTATTTTTTTCTTAGGTGATCATATGACTACAAACTTTTTTCTAGCAACTTGATCTAGCAATCTCAAAGTAAAGCTAAATATTTTTCTTCTTCTTCTTGGAGCCTAGTGTCAACATGAATGGACAACGGTCCAAATTTACTATTAACATCAGATTTAAGGCTCACTCTCGGTCGATTCACAGTTTACTTCTAGTCATGCACAGATAAAGGAAGTAGAAGTTGAGCAAGCATAGAAATGAGTTTATTTACTAGTACCATCTGATGGTATTGATGATGGACCACATGACACATGAGTTGTGTAATACAAGTTGTTTACTCACCGCTACTGTGCATGCGACATAGCCCGGTTTCTCCCTGTAATCAACTCTGGAACACCACAGCAGAAGGGCTCCAATGTACCAGGGAATGGCACCAAGAAAGAAACCGATTATGAACCTTGAAGGGGAGGAGTTTATCATTAGAAGAGTAGTAAATAAAAGGAAGGAAACAAAGCTAAAGCAGCAGCACTGCTGTACCATGAATTCTGCCCAAGTATCAAACTGAATGACAATGTTGTTTGACACACATGAATGAAACTGTTATGAAAAGAGAAAGAAAGATGGTGCGACGATGATGACTTACAGGAACCAGCCAAAACCAATGCCGCAACAGGGAAGTCGATCATGGCTGTGTCCCCGCACACCTGCTTCGTAATCTCGAGCTGAAAGCAAAGCAAACTGAGCAAGGTAAACAACAACATGGAATTTGGATGTAAGCATACATGGAATGCATTGACAAGCAGAGCAGGCACTATACATTGCAGATAGTGGGCACTAGGACAAGAAGGGTTTGACAGTTACTCTAAAACTGGAATTTGGATGTAAGCATACACGGAGTACTAGCGAACTATGGAACCGTCGTTCTAAAACTGAATTGGATTAATATCCTGGTAAAAACAAGGTAAATTAAACCCACTATAATTTCCTTTGGTTCCAGCAAATCTGGTCCCAATTTGTGCAAGACAGTCGCCGAATAGGAGCAGACAGTTGAGATCAAACGACAACTAGAAACTTTTTTTTTTAACGAACAACGCCTAGAAACTTGATCTTGATCCCGCAGTTTTTTAAAATGGTACGCCTAGAAACTGAATTGGGGTAGTATTCGAGAAAGGAAATCGCACATCGCAGCAACGTTACCGGGAACGGACTGGTAGCCGCCGCGGAGGTGGGCGGAGAGGCCCGGCGGCGGGGCGGGCTGTGGAAAGCCGACGGGCGGCGGGCGCGGGGGCGGGTAGCTGGGCGGCCCCTGGAAGGTGCCGTATACGCCTCCCTGGAGGGGCTTGGAGCTGTCGGCCTCCTCCCCGCTCATCCTGCTGGGCTGCTGCGCGCCCGCACTCCGACCTCTCCTCTCTCCCGGAGGCCGGAGCACGCAAGTTTGGTGGTCCGGTAGCCCGACAGCGCCACACTAGGGAGGGATCAAGCTGGAGCCTGGAGGAGGGAGGAGGAAGAGGCCAGCTGTCGTCATGGCCCATGTGCATCCGATGCACACCACGTGGACCCCCTCGGATCGACCGACTTGGCCGATTCGGCCCCTGCCTAACCGTTCCACATGCCGTTACGTCGCAAAGGCACACTGTTTGTTACGAGAATATGCCAAAAGGCGAAATAATCGATTGCTGACAATAATGGAGCATAACAATAATTAATTGATTAATACGTAGTACTCCATCCATTCTAAAATAAGTGATATTTTAGATTTGTTTAAACCATTTTAAGTTTACCAAAGTTATAGAGAGAACATTAATATTTATAACACCAAATAGATATAATATGAAAATATATATTATGATAAATTCAATAATATTTTTTTGGTATTATAAATACTAATATAGTTTTATATAAATCTGATCAGAAATAATTTAATTTAGAATAAAATTATAAAATTATTTATTTTAGGACGGAGATATTACTGCCCTCTGCTAGTCGTGGCTCGTGGGTTTCTTATAAGCGAAGGAACTCACCACAGGCCCACAACCAGTGGCTGAATAACGCCGCGAGACGGGGATGATCCGATCGCATTCGCAGCCGCGGCGTCGGCGTCGGCAGGCACGTGACGACACACCAGGCGTGCCGCGTGCGGCCCGTGTGTACCACTTGCCCTGACACCTGCGCAGCTTCTTCTTCTTTTGTTGGGCCTGTGCCTGGCCCGTTGGCTGGTCGGCATGTCGCGTTAGCTTTTGAGGCACGGCTGGTATTAAAGTCCGTTGATAAATTGATTGGAGTTGTTTTTTTTTACGAGAAAAAAATATTGTAGCCTACCTGGTAAGGGCCTCAACTTCACCCCCTGTCGCTGTCAGAAATCAATTTCTACTACTACTAATCCTCGCCATCCCCGCCCAGCTGGCCGGCCGTCGTGGTGCGGTGGTGGTGGTCTGGTAGTGGTAGGGCTCCCCTCCTTCCAGAGCAGAGCAGACAGAGCAGTGTCACACCACGACCCGTCAGACCGCCACTTGCCAACCAACGCCTTTCTTCTTGGCCTCCGGGAGCGGGAGCGGGGAATGGACGCCGCCGAGCTGCCCATCGTCTACCACATCGGCCTGGTGCTGGCCGCGCTCTGGGCCGCCGCCGCCATCGGCTTCCGCGGCTCCCTCCTCTACCTCCTCGCCTTCCTCTACCTCTACATGGTGGGTACTTGCTGCTGCTACTTCCTGCCCCCCTCACGTACTCTGTACTCGTTAAAACACTAAAGATTTGCCCCTTTTTCTTGCCAAAGAAAGAACAGCACCCGCCTGCCTTTCGTACCGCATCATACTATTCCAGTATATGTTGCCTTTTTCAGCAGGGTTCGTACTTTGTACTTCGTCGGTTTCTGTAATTTCCCTCGCTTTCTCTGATGAAACTTGTTTCTGTCATCAAATTCTTTCACCTTCTCTGATGCAGCAGTCCGTGCCACCAAAAGGGCAATTTGCCACCTCATTCTGCACTCTGCTTTGTATCTATTCTGGGTGCTATGGTTTTATAGATCATTTACCAGTTAGCCATGAAATCCAGAGACCTCGCAGCAGCTAGAAAGCTTGTTGCATGCTATCATTGCTTGACTAATTAGCATGACACATCATACGCTGCAAAAGTTTAACTCCACACAACACCCACTTAATCCAATCAAATTCATTGGGACCAAGTCTATCTCCTGGCTAGGTTGTATAGTTATTTTTCCAAAACTGCGGTGTACTGATCCTATGCCCCCAAGATAAATCCATGGCTTCCAAGGGATAACTTTCTCAAGCAATTAGTAGCTATTCTGCTTTGGCACAGTATAAGAAGGTTGATGACATGTGAGAGTGATATTACATGAATGATTGAATGCTTCCGCTTTTTAAGGATTTATTGTATCGTATCGTGATTTCAAAACCATCAAATGCTACAAAGTAATTTCCTTCGTCTTTATGACCTCCTATACTAATTTTTATGGACTAATTTCAATTCATTAAGAACCAATCAAGTGATGTAAAATATTTCAAATGATTTAGCTGAGGCACCTTGGCACTGTATCAGAAATTTTCCCGTTTTTATTCTATGTTATGGAATGAAATTTCCCTTCTCTTCATCAACACCAACTCCAAGCTGGTTCAGTATTTTTAGACCATACTGCTTCTTTTTCCCTGTTTTACTTCCTCATCTTTTCATGACACTTACTGTAATTTTAGATTCTCATTCCAACTTCTACCTTTCTGCATACATTGTTTTCCAAGTCTTGTATATCGTGATCTAGTTGTTTGCTTGAACATGTGTGATACCAGAATACCAGATAATCAGGAGAAATTAAGTTACAATAATGCTCCTTGTTGTAGGTAAATGCTCGCTGTGCGGTGAGACTGCGGAAGAGGATACAACATGAGGAGATGAAATCTGCCTATCAGCGAAGGGTATACACCTTATTTTTCTGTGATCCACAGTTGTTGCGCTTTTTAAATATTGCACGGATAAGTATTGTTGACTAGGCTGGAAATTTCATTTTCTCCTTTTTATTTCCTTTTTTATGACCGTTCCTGCCTGTGTAAATTCATCTCATATTGTTTCATGTTTAGCTCCTCTCTGGCGCAGAATCAGTACGCTGGTTAAACTATGCAATCAACAAGATGTGGCCTGTCTGTATGGAGAAGATCGTTTCACAACTTCTACGGCCCATCATACCATGGTTCTTGGATAAGTTCAAACCTTGGACAGTCGTATGGTTTCCTTCTTTTATCTTGATTTTCTGATTCATATTCTCTATTTTGTGGCATTTTACCTCGAACTGCTTCTTTAACAATGTTTTCCTATGACAGTCACATTTTAGTTTCGTTAAGTAGGCATTTCCATCCATCGATTCTCTGTAGCTTACTTGATATTGTTATTCTGCAGAGCAAAGCAGGTATTCAGGAGCTTTACATGGGCAGGAATCCACCAATCTTTACCTCCATGAGAGTTCTACCTGAGACATCAGATGATGACCATTTGGTAGGTACCACTTTTGTTTGATCTGAATATTTCCTTTACTTCTATGGGCAATTGACAATAATCTGTGTTCATTTTAATGCTTTTATACAGGTTCTTGAGCTGGGAATGAATTTCCTTTCTGGTGAAGATATGAGTGCTGTACTTGCTATGCAGCTGCACAAGAGTGTGGGACTTGGAATGACTGCAAAGATGCATTTAACTAGCATCCATGTCGAGGGAAAGGCAAGTTAACTAGTAAGCTGAACCATTTTGCCATAGGAGTGATAAACTTGTGACATTCTCATAGAAAATGGATTTTAAAACACCAAATCCACACTTAGGAAGAGTGATGCTTTGGAAAGAGTGTGATTCACATTATGCTGAAAAAAGGAAAAGACTTATGATGCTAACTTTTTCAAGTCCCATGTTATTTTTCTCTGTGCAGAAATAAGTGACATAATTTACAAAATGGTTAAAGTTTACAATACCTCTTTATTATTGTCTTGCTTTACATTGTTAAAGTTCTCCATTATCATTGGGGACCGTGCTAAAAATTCGAAATAGGATGCACAGTTTCCCTTACCTTCATGAAGGCAACCACCAACACTCATGAACCAAAAATACACAGTTTCTTGTACAGACTGGTGGCAAGGACTATGTTGTAACTTTACTGTAATCCTAAGGAAATTAATAAAAGTTTTCTGGTCAACAAAAGGCCTATACATATTCTCCTTTTTTTGTGACAAACAGCAGATCCCACCGATCTTTAACTGTGTCAAGCAATATAAAAAAATATATATACGGATTTGTTCTATGGAAAAGCAGATGGTAAAGAAAATTTTAGTTTAAATTTAGAAAACCCTCATTAGACAAAGGAAACAGTTTCTTCCCTACATGTAATGTTTACCTTGTAAAGTTGTACTCAACACAAGAATATGTTTTTGCAGATTTTAGTTGGTGTGAAGTTTGTTCGGAGTTGGCCATTTCTTGGCCGTGTAAGACTATGTTTTGTGGAGCCGCCTTATTTTCAGATGACTGTGAAGCCACTTATTAATCATGGGCTTGATGTCACTGAGTTTCCAGGAATTTCAGGATGGCTGGTGAGATTTTCCTGTATTATAATCTTTTCTTATTGTATAATTGGTGATTCTGTTTCTTACTGATCACTCGGCCTACTGGGTTTCTTTTTCCAGGATAAGTTGATGGATACTGCATTTGGGCAGACATTAGTTGAGGTCAGGTTTTTATTACGGAGTACTATTTTTTGTTTGTTTTGCTTTCTTCAAAAGACTTTTCAGGGCTTACCTTTGAAGGTTGTCCATGTACCTTTTCCTTACTGAGGTATTTTTTTCTTCTGGCAGCCCAATATGATAGTCATAAATGTGGAAAAATTTGCATCTACTCCTTCAGGTAGGTAGCAACTTATTTCTGCTTGTGTTTCAGAAATCTTTAAAAAATTACTGTGATTCTGAAATCCTCCTGTGGATGTTGAAAGGGACCGTGACGCCTAAGGAGGGGGGGGTCAATTAAGCAACTTAAAAGTCTAACTCTAAACTATGGCCTCTTTTTCTATTCTTAGCAAAACCTATGCAAAAGATAAACTATCTCAATGTGCAACTACGATTTTGCTAGTGTATTGCTATCTCTACCGCAAAAAGGAGTTATGCAAACAATGTAAATGCGGAAGCTAAAGAGTAAGGTAGAGATATGCAAACCCCCGTCGACGACTCCGGTATTTTTACCGAGGTATCGAGAAGCGCACAAGCTTCCCCCTAGTCCTCGTTGGAGCCCCTCGCAAGGAATCTCTCGCAAGGGCCAAGCTCCCGGTCGGGTAACTCCGTGGATAGTTCCAAGCCTTCCCCACGCGCAAGTTGGTTTCCGGTGTGCCTT